GTGTGAGTGTGTGTGTGTTTATATATATATATATATATAGTGTGTGTGTGTGTGTACATGTGTGTGTGTGTACGTGTGTGTGTTGTGTGTGTGTGTGTGAGTGCGTGTGCGTGTGTGTATGTGTGTGTATGTGTGTGTGTGTCTATAAGTATGTGTGTAATAGAAAACCTATGCATTCAAATACTACACTAGTATACATTGTTTGGGGGGTGTGTGTTAAGAAACTTGTACTTTCAAGTACCATGTTAGTACATATTGAGTATATATATCGCAAAAATTGTTGATATTTCATTATACAATGACATAGTCTAGAGTTTCCCAACCTTGTTTTATTTTGTGACTGTTGTGGTTGTATGAATACATGTAGATACGATACATGTATCCGAATTGAGCACGCAAGCAAGGGGCTGTATCCATATACTTGTTCGAACCCAAATCAAAGACAGGTAAACATTTCTTAAGCCACCATTGCCAATCTGAATTCGTGCCTACTAGTATTATCTTGGTACCCAACACTCTATTATAACCGAATCTGTGGCCGAAACTGCGCAAGCGTAAGCGCGTGCAGATAAAAATGGAATACTAATTACTAGTCAACAATATTGACATTATTTGTCACATACCTTTATCCTCTTCACAGCAAGACCAGTCAATTTTGGGATGGTCGACAGTAATCCAGGGACAAGGGAAAAAAATTCCGTATCTGAAGAAATAGTGACAGAGTTGGGCACATCTGTGCCGTCTAGCTTTAACGCTTGCTTCGTTATCATTAAAATAGTAGATTTGCACTATTAAGCAACATGTGTATAAGAAAAAAATAGAGTTGACTAAGCAGATGTTGAACCAGATAACATAAATTGTTTCTCGAATAAACTTCGGCAAGAAGGACAACATGAGTGCAATCGGCGAGAACAACACCGACCGTAACGACCCAGGGGCTAGAATGTTATCGTCATCGCTTGGACGTGTTCTGCCTTTCATAATTCTATATATTTACGTTACAGTGGAGATTCTTCAGCTGTATCTTATATTTGTGTAGTTGATCACATCCGCACCTTCAGTTACTTCTTACAAGTCTGTAAAGTATAATGTGCTTCGTGTGTTCCCCTGTAAATACTTGATACTGTATATATATATCAGGCGGTATTCTCATACAAGAGCTCACGTATCGTAATATCATCGCGGTTCGTCAAAAGCACCAAAAGCGGAAAGATAGTGGAGTCATAAAAATATTTTAAATTCCCAATCCCAAAATTTTGAAGTCTATAAATTTTAAAATCGTTGACCGGTCTGATCTGATCCAGGTTTGACCGACTTTGAGCCGATTTTTTTTGTCCGATTTTGTCCGATTTTTCTGAGTCACCAAGTCCGAAACTATGTTCGTATAAATAAATAAAAATATTTACGTGGGGGGGGTTTCTCCACACCTCGACACTCGGTAGACGGCGCTGGAGTATCCTGGGCCAGGATCCCGTGAGCTCTAAGTGCAAGCGATAACAATATATAGTCATCATCCATTAGTTTATATACTACTACTACGAAGTAAATTTGGGAAATTGTACCGATTGCTCTCGATGTAGAAACTCGATGGTACTGCATATTGGAAACATATCATTCATAAATACAACATTCAAGAGAGGCTAGTCCGAGCACAGTGGTGGCCGTGTATGTAAGAATAGGGCGATCATGATGTTAAGCTATGGTCAGAGCGGGGAAGAGGCGCCACTCTTAACACCTGAGGGAGAAGAAATTGATTACCACAATCTAAGATCAAAGGTCAGTGTCTAGTCGCAGCTGTAAATTTTATTGATATCAGCGTTTGCCTGCGCCAAAATAAGAATTGTGAATAACGGGATCTTGTGTATCTTTTCGATTTGTGTCAGCTCGATTATATTGTTTGTCTTAAACAGTGCACGTTATCTGCACGAGGGATTATAGTTTGGTTAGTATATATAAATTGAATAACCTTCTACTAGCTAATCAATCATTTAAAACTAAAATTTCGTCACAGCTATTGAGAGAAATTGCTTGTATGGTCTTTAATTTTTATGCGTACGATACACGTCTTACTAATATGTATCTACGATAGTCATATATATATATATATATATATGTCTGTGTCTGTGTCTGTGCTTCTCTGTATATATATATATATTTTATATATATATATATATATGTGTGTGTGTGTGTGTGAATGTGCTTGTGTATGTGTAAGTGTATGTATGTATGTTTTTATGTTCTCATCTTTCTGTATATCTATATATCTATATATCT